TAAGCGACGGAGAAAATAAACGGCGTCGATGATACGACCTTGAAGGTGGTCGACGACGAAACAGGACACTCTACTACTCGATCCCGTACAAAAAAAATCTTCCTATTCTTCTCTTCGATAAAATATATATATATATATATTTTTCTTTTTTTTTTGAGTTTTTTCTTTAAATTATATTTAAATGGTTAAAATGTGAGAAATCTAATGGGTCGATTTAAAATTGTATCAATGATCGATACGTGGTTTTATCGATATATATATATATATGTATGTATAAAAAGAAAAAGGATCGCGATTTATCAAGGATATATAGAAAAAAAGATCCTTTACAAGATCCATTCTACTATGTCTTAATCCGTTTCTAATCAAAGAGGATGGCCCAGAATGATTTGGACGAAGGAGAAGGCGGGAAGAAGAAGAAGTAGAAGAAGAAGAAGAAGAAGAAGAAGAAGAAAGAAGAAGAAGAAGGTAGGATGACTTCGCTGGAAGAACTTGTCTGCTAGAACATCGCCACTCTGCTTCAATTTCTGGCGTCAATTAAAAAGTGACGCGGACCGAGGAAAATCAGTAATTAACGACGAGGCGGCTATTTCTTTCGATGTTCCTTCACTTTTTGTTTCCCCCCTCCCTCCCACTCCCTCCCACCCTATTTTTTTTTCCTTTTCTTTTTGCATTCCACGTGTTCTCGACTTTCCAATTTTACGTTTAAACCATTAACAATGTATCCAAAGAAATACCAATGACTTCGACGATTAAGTCATAATATCGATTTAACATATATAAAAAAAAACAGATAAAAAAAATAGAAAGAAAATATTTAACGATTGCGTATATCAGCAATAGGTAATAATTTGACGGACCAATGGGATTCCGTTGTTTCGTCGAAGAAAACATTTAATCCTAGTTTAAAGAAGAAGAAGGAGAAGAAGAAGAGGAGGAGGAGGAGGAAAGAAGGAAAGAAAGGAGAGTGGATTTCGTATCAGAAATATTACCAGGATATCGTACTGGACCTGAAATAAACCACCATCGGTGAACTTAACGATCCTCCTTCTTCTACGTGTCACAGTGAAACGGCTAACCACGATTCGAGCGTGTCGATAAAGGGAAGCTTCACAAGCTCGACGAAGACACAGCTGAAGTTCGTTATACGTCGTGACTCGACAAACCCGATTTCTTCGACGATCTACCTTTGACTATCTTCTTCTCTCTCTCTCTCTCTCTCTCTCTCTCTCTTTTTATATCTTTCTTTCTTCCTCTCTTTCTCAGGGATTCGCGCGTGCTTACTTGTCTCTCTTTCTCTTAAACTCGCATCTCTTGTAAGCGTAAGTACATTCAACGGAATCCACAACAAAGTTGGAACTCCTTTCGCTTAGAAAAGAAAGAGAGAGAAAGAGAGTCGTTAAAGCAGAGTCGATAATTGTAGCAAATCCGTGGTTACACGGGCATAGACCGTGCGATCGTACTTAAACGCTTAATTATATACGGCCAGAAACCAAACGGTGGGGATTCAGCAATATCAAGAGTTGCTGGTAGACGATAAAAACTAACGAAGGAAATATATTTTTCTTCATTTTTTTTTTCCTTTTCCTTTTACCTTTTTCCTTTTTCTTTTCGTTTTCCTAGGCGTCAACCATTATTGCTATTCGTAGCCGATTAAACCGACGGTCTCGGAGTGGTCTTCGATAATCGGACGTTTCTCGATCAATCGACGAGATTAATCCCTATCGCGAATGGAAAGGCTTGAGCTTCGAGCGTCTATAGCAAACTCGATCGGCAGAAGATCGATAATAATCGAATTCTAAAGACCTCGAGTAGAGTAGGATCGATCGGCAAAAGATCTTTCATTTTTTTACTTATATACTTGGATAGATAGTATATGTTACGTATGTACGTACACATGCGTATACCTATATATATATATGTATACGTAAGTATATAGTTGCGATCGTTTCTTTAACAACGAACAATTTTATTCCTTTCTCACGAACACCCGCACCTCATTAACGAAGCACACGACGATTAATTAGTGCCGAGTGCCATACCGATAAAAGCGTACGAATTAAAATCGAGGTAAAAAGGAGGAAGAATAAATCTCTGGTGAACGTCGAGGAGGACATAAGAGAGAAAAAGAGAGAGAGAGAGAGAGAGAGGGAAAGAGAAAGAGAGAGAAAGAGAGAGTCGTACGAAGTGATTAATCGACGCGGGTCGTTAAGAGAATTTCGCACGTGGAATATCGAGTCCCGCATCGCGAGAGTCTCCAAGCAGCGAAGATAAGCGAGCGTGAAGTTCTACAGAGGAATGAAATAATTTCTTCATTTTCTTTCTCTTTTTCTCTCTCTCTCTCTCTTTCTCATCATCATCATTTCGTATATAGCTCGTGAAATCGAGGCCAAAAAGATAGTTATCCTTTTAGATAGAGTAAGTTCACGCGTGCCTAAGGAAGAAGATACTACGATATTTGAAAACAAGAAAAAAAAAAAAGAAAGAGAAAGAAAGGAATAAATAAATAAATAAAAGAAATTTTTGTTGTTGTTGTTTTGTTGCGTTCATAAAAAAAAAGAAAAAAAAGAAGGAATGAGCCTACGGCTAATTACCTGAAATAACCCATTAGTCCTGTATCCCTCCCCCCACCCACCGATCGTCCAACAAATTACAAGGCGAGGAATGAAACAGAGGTGGCGCGTCATCTTTGACGAGTTAATTTCGAGCAGGGATCAGTACTGAAAACCCCTCCTCCTCCTCCTCCTCTTCCTCTTTCGATAGCCATTACTCTTCTTCTTCTTCTTTTTCTTCTTCTTCTTCTTCTTATGGTTCGAACAACCCGTTTCCATGAATCAGCGGTATTCCATGATCACGGAATATCGAAACTTTAAAAGATCGATTGGGTTTGATTTCTATCAACGGTTCTATAAATCCTTTTTCAAAGTTTCTATTGAAAATATAATATATATATATCTAGATAAATAACGTAACTTACGTAACGTATTTAAAAAAAATAAACACGTAATATTTAATTTATATAATAGATAATAAAATTAAAAAAAAAAAGAGAAAAAGAAAAGAAGGACTTTGTAATAAACTACATTGAAAATACACTTTATACACTTTGATACTACGGTAAGCGATGAAAAGGGAAGGAAAAAGAATCCCTTTTCGCTAGATGGGATAACAAAATGTAAAGTCGAATTTAACGGAGGAGATCCACGAAAGTCCCTGTTTGATGTTACGTAGCATAAGGAGGACAAAAGGCGGATAACCGCTTTATACAAAATACGGGAGTAAAACGAGGTGTGTGTGAAAGAGAGAGAGAGAGAGAGAGAGAGGAGCAATCACCAGCGATTTCATAGCTGTCGTCCTTGGCTGGAAAGACTTCGAGTTCCGTTTCAAGGCTGTGCTGCTGCTGGTGCTGTTGGTGCTGGTGCTGTTGGTGCTGCTGGCGTTGCTGTTGCAGGGCCAACATCGGTGAGGGATACCAGGAATGACGAGGCGCATTCCCAGCTTACCCTCGTCGTTCTTGGCTAGGAAGCTTTCCCTCTTGAAAAAATTCGGGATCGCGACACTTCTCCTCTCTGTGCATGTCTCTCACCCTCTTCTTCCTCCTCCTCCTCCTTCACCCGATGCTGCACCTTTTTCTTCTTCATTTTTTTCTTCTTCTTCTTCTTCTTCTTCCCTTAACACCTGACGTTTGAATTTTTAATTGACTCCGCGAGGTGAGATGAACGAGGTGTCAGGTAACTTTCTTGTCGATGAATAAAAGGCAAAGGTGCGTGGCGTGCTGTGGCGTGCGTACGAATGTACGATGGTAATTGACGATTATCAGCAAACCAACCGACCTACTGATATTTCTCATTGGATAATAAAACAAGGAATACTGTTGTAAAATCTATTAAACAACAACAACAACAACAACAACAACAACTATAACATGACGTTGGATTATATTTAACGATCGTTTATAACGAATTAGGAAATGTATTTAGAAAGGGATTAGTTTAAGTAGCGAACGAGAGGTTGGTCATCGAAATGATAAAAAGAAGGAGGAAAGAAAAAAAAAGTTTAGCGATCGGATGTTTCGTCGATTAGGTTGAAGCATCGCGAAATTGGGTTGGGCAGGAACGATTTGGTGTATCGGGCCGGATCGAAGATGGTCGTGAACAAGAAACGGTGGAACGTGGCAGGCTCGTTTGACCGAAACGAAAGGTGTCTTTCGGTTTTTGCCGTGCAATCGGCCAAGATAGCGCTCGGAAACGGGCTTTGGGAGAATTTTTTAAGTAAGCTTTGTAATTAAAGCTACCGCTTTAAGATGATCGGGGCGGTGGGATGGAGGGAGGGGTAGGTAGGTGTCGAAGATCGGTCCTGGTGTTGCTGCTGCTGTTGCTTCTCCGTTAAAAGAGGAGGAGGAGGAGAACTCGAGCAGGCCGATTTTGCGGGCGTTTCGAGACTTGAATTGGATCGAACCTTCCGATCGATCTCGCCTAGTTTGTCCGAGCGTAACAAACGCGCCGTGCAGATCGATCTGTCGAGCGAAACTGGGCCAAAACGGCTGGGATCGGTCACGGGAAAGATGGAAAGAGAAGGAGGACAATCTCTCTCTCTCTCTTTCACACAAACTGAGTTTTCGATCCATCTTCGTCGACACCGAAAACCCGGTGGCATCTTAATTGTAACATCGTTTTGTCCCGTAACTTTAACAATTCGCTACTAATTAAGTCGCGATCGAAACCGGATTGAAAGGATCGAGTACAACAAGATTGTATAAGTAAAGAAAAATAAAAAGAAAAAGAAGAAGAAGAAGAAGAAACTTTAACGATACAAACAATATGATTTATGCGCAAAAGTATAATAATAAGAAAAGAAATAATAATCTCGCGAATAAAATAACATTGTTTAACGAAAAAGTAAATTGTAACGATCCTAAAAATCATCGAACGGAATAATCAACGACGATCGTATACGACCGAGGAAAATAAGGAACATCGGGAATAGGATTGGCAACTCACCGTGAGGCGCGAAACAATCAAGGATCCTGATCCTTCGTCGTTGGAGAAGTTCGAATTAGCCGCGAGGAAATCCGCTCACGTAGGCCAGGACTCTTGTACGCGTACGTTGCCCGTCACGTTCCAATCCCTGAAACAGAGACAAGACAAGCCACTCAAGTCTCAGCGAGCTGTTGACTTGCTTATACGAATTTATCATCTCATGAAAATATATCTCTCTTTCAATTTGAATTATCGATAAATAAACTTACTCGAAAAGTAACGTATTCACACTCTCCATAGAATAACCACAGCTGATACGCGAATTAAACCCACAAAAAACAAAATATATATATATATATTTTATATAAATATACAATATATATATATATATATATATATAAAATATATAACATAAAAGAAAAAGAGAAAAAGAAAAAACCAACCAATTTCACCGTTCATCCGAGTCACCCTTTTTTTTTTATCGGCGTATTATTAAAAAACGAAAAAAAAAATATTAAACAGGCTCTCTAATGATGTTAAAGTTTCTCGAAGTGAATCGAACGGACGTTTCGTTCCAAGTCTTCCTCGTCTGCGAGCATGGAGGTCGAAGACGGAGACGAAGAGAGATAGAGAGGAAAAGAGAAAAAGAGAGAGAGAGAGAGAGAGAGAGAGGAAGCTCGTAAAGAACTCGAAGAAGAGGCCCCGTACGCGTATACCCGATGCTCGAAGGATCGTGGACGTGCTCGCCACGAAGGGAATGCAGCGTGATGTATGCGACTTCACGCCTGACTCACGTCCGCGCGCATCAGAGAAACGCCTGATATTAAGATACGCGCGGTGATACATTATAGAGACATCATTCATCGACCAAGTCTTTTTATCTCCCTCTTCCTCTTCGTCCCTCTCCGTTCCTCTCCCTCTTCCTTTCTCTCTATCTCACTCAGTCACTCCATCCATCCCTCTATCCATTCCTCGTTGAGTGCCGACCCTCCCTTTGACGTGCCGCACCGATCGTTCCGATGTGATCGGGGAACCACGTTTCTCTTTCTTCTCTTAGAATCGTAAAGGTGACTATAAAATTTCACTAAAATCTATGGGGAATATGTGTGTGAGAGAGAGAGAGAGACCGATTATTATAATATTATTTATTATATATTAATATATTATATTTTTGTTATATCTCTCGTTAAACGAAATATATGTATGTGTGTGTGTATATATATGTATAATTGGTTTGCTTTTGTAAATAAGTCGACATATACGCTTTGTACGATTTTTTTTTCTTCTTCTTTTCTTTTTTATGAAGAATTATCATTAAAGTAATTTTTTGTACTTTAATTAATGATTTGGTTTATTACAGGACATTAATCTTAACTTTGATATTAGTCTCATTCGTGAAGTAATGTATTTATTATGTTGATACGCGTTATATATGTGTGTGTATATATATATGTATGTGTCAGTCGAATAAGTTAATTTTTACTTTGGAGACGTGAAAGTGGCCGCACCAAGTTGGTACTATCGTACCGTACCGTACCGTACCGTACCGGCGGCGATCGGCGTGATTCTTTGACGAAAGCGTACACTTATTTCTACGTGTGTTACATTAACTCTGTGTGAAAATGACGGATAGTCGTAACGAAATCTTTCGAGAGAAAGAAAAGATAGAATAGAGTGGCTCGTTGTTTCCTATATGCATGATCTCGATTGGCCCCTTTTTTGATCATTGTATTATAATATACTTAACGCTTTCAAACGAGATTGTTTAGCCGATAAATGAAAACAAAAAGATTCAAAAATTTTAAGTATTTGTAAAAATGACAATAGATAACTCTCCATTGATTAGCAATTCTTTTTACGTTTGATCAAAATAATTAATTACAAAAAGGATAGGATAATAATGAAAATGTTCAGAGTATCGCATTTAAAAAGCTTATAAAATGTCGAGCTTACAAATTCCTACAAAAAAAAAAAAAATGATTAAAGTGTTAAAGGGTTAAGGGATAATCTTAACCCATGAATGTATCACGGTGGAAAAAAAAGGGGGGGAGCTCTCTTTGAGATTCGGCCAAAGTTAGAAGGAAAAAAAAAAAAGAAAAAAGGCGAAGAAATCCGAGGCGAAACTCTCTACCACTACCACTACTACTACTATTACTACTGCTACTTTTTTTCTTCTTCTTCTTCTGTCTTTTTTCCTTTTTTTATTTTTTATTTTTCTGGGCGTCGCGACGTTATTACATGGTTCATTAGGGACGTAAGCCTGCGAGGCAGATTCGCTATTCGAGGGCCGAAGCTGAGAGGAAAATACTAGAGAAAGAGGAGGAGGAGGAGGAGGAGGAGGAGGATATAGAAGAGGATGGATGAAGGGAAGGGGTAAGGGAGGGAGTAGTATCAAAGAGAGCGAGGAGGAACGGCAAAGAAAGAAAGAAAGAGCGAACGAGCGAGAGAAGGAAGAGGAGGAGGAGGAGGTGAGGAGGAGGAAGGGGGTGCGATGCTCTATCAGGCAGGAGCAACGTCGAGACCAACCAGAGCGAAGCCGAGCCAACCAACCAGAGCCATCCACGAGTTGCGGATGCTCCAACTATTGCGCCGCGCACCCACGTAACACACCGAGATACACGGACACTGTGCTGATTCTGATGCTGCTATTGCTGGTACTGGTGCTGGTACTGGTGCTGCTGGTACTGGTACTAGTGCTGCTGGTGCTGGTGGCCGCAGTCAGCGTCGACGACGACGACGACGACGGCTAATGAGCAAAACTTCAATGATGCGCCCAGCAAGTGAAAAATCTGCTTCCCCTAATTACGGGATCCTTACCGACGCGCGCCTGCCTGCCAGCCTATTTGCTTGCTTGCAGGCTTGTCTGACTTCGTACTTTGCTTACACATTTTTCTCTACTTTGATCAAATCTATGCGTTACTTAATTTTCTAGGACAATGAGAAGAGTTCTCTGACTGAAACAAATTTTTCTTTCTTACGAAATAAAATTAAGATCGATTATATTATAAGTATAAGAGAGATTTTTTGGATAATTATATATATATATATGTATATGTAACGTTTTAATGTAAAAATTAAAACGAAAAAATTAGGAAAAGAAAGATAGAAATAGAATCGTTAAAAAATTCATGATGGACTTCGTTAGTAATTAATACGAGAGTGAGAAAAAGCTGTGAGGATTTCACGAGAATGATATTAGTTGAACAACCGTCGTCGGTTTTAATGGTATCCGCTACGAGGAGACTTCCGGTGACCGATCTCATCTCTAAAACCCTTCCAGTCTTTCGTTACAACCATCCCCGATCCTCCCCCTTGATCCGTCCCTCTCGCAAAGCCGCACCCACGTTGTCCTTCCTTCTCTCTCTCTCTCTCTCTCACTCTTTCAGATTTTCTACCTATTTTTCGTCGTCCATTCTACCACGGTAGAGTAGAAATGGACTTCCGTTTCCTGCGCATGATTTATTAGATAGTCAGATAACGTTAGCCGGTTGGACGTTATGCTTTAGAAAAATTTCAACGACTGTTATATACTTACGAATCTCTCTCTCTCTCTCTACGCGTATGGTTTTAATACCTAATTATGATAATATTCTTCTTTATGATTTAAAAAAAAGGAGAAGAAAAAAAAATAGAAAAGAAATAATAAAATTAATAAAATAATATAATCACAAAATAAATCCCCGTGTACAATATATTATTCACGATTAACCTCTAATGTTCATTTAAAAATCGTATCGTTGGATTATAAGAGTGGTAGAGAAGAGGAGAAGAGGAGAAGGAGAAGGAGGAGGAGGAGGAGGAGAGAAGAATAGAGTACAAACGCGTCGACGACTCGTGGGATGATCATTAACGTGCGATTCGCAAGCAATTAAATCGAAGTGGCAGGAGCAAACATCGATCGAAAAGAGAGTGAACGCGTCGAGGGAAAAGGTAATACCGTGTGTGTTTTACCTACGCTACGCTCCGCTCCGGTCGATGAGAGTTGGCCCATAGGGGTGGGTTGCCGTGTACAAGCGAAAAAGAAAAAAGATAGATAAATACAGAGAGAGAGAGAGAGAGAGAGAGAGAGAGAGAGAGAAAGAGAGGGAGGGAGGGGAGGGAGAGAGATGCCAGCTCTCAAATATTTACCAGCTCGTCTAAACAGCTTCGGGCATTGTTCCACGGTGCTACTATGTGTAAATTTAATCTTCCGCTCCCTGTGAAGATAAACGAAACTATCGAGATTACGAGCTGACTGGCTTTCTCTATCAACCTTCCCTTCCCCCCTTTCACCCCTTTCTCCCGTCACCCCACCCCTGTTCGAATTAGAGGAAGAATGGAAGACCGCATTATCGAACGTTTACGCTTAATAAAACGTGACGTGATCGTGGTCCGTGAGTCGTGAAATAGAAATCGATGGATAAGAGAGGCAGTTAGGAGGATGAGTTTCAACTTGGCGAACGAACCACTTGGAATTTGCTGACGTGCGTCTCCTTAACTCATTCTTTCTCTCTTTCTTTCTCTCTCTCTCTCTCTTTCTTGCTTTAGCGATCAAGATGGCGTAGTTGGCCAGGGTGACATCTTCTTCTTCTTCTTCTTCTTCATAGGGTGTCGTGAAAGATCCAGAAAAGGATTGTTAATCTTTTTCATGGATGCCCCCCCTCCTCCTCCTACTCGTTGGGGCTCGTTTGAATCGATGCAACGGAATGACGGGTCTTTATATGCATAAACATACTTTTATATATATATATATATATATATATATATAACATATTGGTGATAATATATGTATATAGGTAGTATATACGATAATATGTACACTTTTATATTGGTATGAGAGAAGACTGGAATCTTCGAGCCCTTTGTCGGACGATCATGGAACACCTGGACTCTCTTATCTCCGCTATCTTCTCTTCTTTTCTCTTGTTCGAGGTCACCTAAAGGGTATCCTCGATCTAGCAGAGTGCTTCGACAGCCAAGAAGAAATCACAGAGCAGTTAACGTGAAGCCGCCGCTGCCGCCGCCATGTCACTCTTTTAACCGCGCCTTCCTTCAGTCCGAAACAACTTATGACACCGGTTAACGCCAAGGGCGGTTCTTTTTATCCTCTCTCACTATCTCTCTTTCTCTCTCTTTCGATTATTATACTTCCTCTTATTTCTCATCTAA